TTGGCAGGACCACCGCACGAGATGGCCCGCGGATGGAGAGGTGTGGTTGACAGAACGGATCGGCCAAGACGAGATGGTGCAGCGACAGTGGGTACGGCCCGAGAGCGAGACGGGGTTGAACCGACGGCGAGTCGAGCAGTACATGGAGGCGTTGGTCCGATTCCGAGAGAAATTGTTGGTGTTGATCCACATGAGTGGAGGCCAGCCAGGACGAGCGCCCGAGGTATTGAGCATTCGACACGTCAACACGCCCGAGGGTGGCCATCGCAACGTATTCATCGAGGACGGCATGGTCGTGTTCGTGACCCGTTACCACGAAGGATATTCGGTGAGCGGGGACGTAAAGGTGATCCATCGATATTTGCCGCGGGAGGTGGGCGAATTGGTGGTGTATTATTTGTGGTTGGTATTGCCGTTTGTGCAGCAGATGGAGGTCATCATGTACGAGAAGGAGGATATTTCGTCCCACATGTGGCCGACCGACCCGAAGGGCAAGAAGTGGACGGCGGAAAGGATGAGAAAGGCATTGGAGCGAGAGAGCCAGTTGGCATTGGGCCAGGCGATGAACGTGGCCGCATATCGAGAGATTGCCATTGGCATCAGCCGAAAGTACATGCGAACATCGACCGCGTTCGACCCCAGCGACGAAGAAGCCGAAGCAGGCGCCAAGTCATGGGACGACGAGAATGGAAAGTCGGGCATTGCCGACGAGCAGGCCGGCCACACGTCGCACGTCGCCGGGTTGATATACGCCCGCGGGATGATGGAGCAGACGGGAGCCATCGCGGAGAAGAGGCAGCGATTCCGGGAGTCGAGCACGGATTGGCATCGATTTTTGGGATTCGAATCGGCATGGGAGGAGCGAGCGACGACGTCGTTGAAGCGCAAGCGGGCGCCGTTCGAGGGCGACGCCGACGAGGGACGATTCGATCGATGGGCGCATTTGCGGACGATGGACGTGGAGCAGCCATTGAAGAAGATGATGGGCCGGCAGGCGACGTTCCGCGGCGTGCAGAAGCCGGCCATGGAGGCGATCATGCGGGGCGAGAGCAGCATCGTGGTGGTGATGGCGACAGGGGCGGGCAAGAGTTTGTTGTTCATGTTGCCGGCATTCATCGAGCCAGGCGGGACGACCGTAGTGGTCGTGCCGTTGATTGCATTGCGAGAGGACATGAAGCGGCGGTGTCGAGAATTGAACATTTCATGTGTCGAATGGGAGGGACGACGGCCGCCCGACGCAGCAACGGTGGTATTGGTCGTGCCCGAGGCGGCCGTAGGCCGTGCGTTTATGACGTTTTTGAACCGGTTGAAGGCGACGCGGCCGTTGGACCGGATCGTGATCGACGAGTGCCACATGGTGTTGAACACGTCGTATACGTTCCGGCGGCCGTTGCAGCAGATGGGGCAGTTGGTTAGGGCCGAGACGCAGATGGTGTTGTTGACGGCGACGTTGCCGCCCAGCCAGGAGGACGAGTGGTTCCGGCGAATGCATTTCCAGCGGAGCGAAGGGAAGATATTCCGCGAGCGGACGAGCAGGACGAACATTCGATACCGAGTGGCGCGGGTGACGGAGCGAGAGTCGATGGCGTTTGTCCAGAGCAAGGTCGGCCAGGTTCGGGTGGGCAAGGTGGTGGTGCATTGCAACCGCGTGAACAAGGTCAAGAAGATGGCAGAGGCGTTGGGATGCCACGGATACCACCACCACGCGATTGGCAAGGCGGGCATGTTGCGAGATTTCAGCAGCGGGACGCAGAGGGTGATTGTGGCAACGAGTGCATTGGGGATGGGGGTGGATATTCCGGACATTCGATTGATCATCCATGCCGATCCACCGCGGACATTGTTGGAATATGCGCAGGAGAGTGGACGAGCCGGACGAGACAGGCGGAAGAGTGAGGCGGTGGTGATGGTACCCGGACGGATGCACCCGATCAGCGGACAGAGCGATCAAGAATGGGAGTTGATCAAGCAATTGATTGGCGAAGAGGAGGATCGTGTATGCCGCAGGATTGCATTAGACAAGTATTTGGATGTGGAGTCGACCCGGCGGCATTGCGAGGAGGGAGAAGAGCGATGTGATGTGTGTGGAGGCGAGGAGGGAGAGGCCATGGACGTAGACGTAGACGTGGGAGATACCATAGAGACAGTGGTTGTAGAAGATGCCAGAGACGAGGCAGAAGCCCGGGCCGAGCAACGGGAGTTAGAAGGAAGACGATTGGCATTCCAACGACAAGAACAAGAACGGAGACAGCGTCGGTTGCAGTGGGTAGAGCAGAGGAAGCAACCGATTGGCGACATGGAATGGGTGCAGCGGCAGATTGGGATGTGGTCCGGACGATGTGGGATTTGCAGGGCGGCCGGGATCGAGGACATGCACCACCGGTTGCGAGAGTGTACAAAGGAAGAGAGTCGAGCGGTATGGGAATCGACGAAGAGGATCGACAAGGCGAGACGATTGCATTGCAAAGGGTATTTGGGGTGTTATTCGTGTGGATTGCCGCAGTACATGTGCGAGCGATGGGAAGAGGATGGAGGGGGAGGATGGAGGATTCGGGCCGGGGGGATTTGCCATTCGGAAGGAGAGATCATATCGG